TTGTGAAAAACAGTAGTCATCTTCATCAAGGTGGAAAAATATGACAGAACGTAGCCCGAGTGCTAGATTTTTGGCACAAGGTTTTCAGTAGTTATATTTTCAAGAACTGAATAAATCATACTTACTGGAGAAGATTTTTCCCCAACATTCTCCAGTTGAAAAATGGACGCTTAAGAAAGCCTGGCCTCTAGAAACCTAAAATTTTGCACCCATACTAAGTGGACCCTGATGGTGTGCACCTGGGTATTATTACTTGTCTTATCTACGTGCATGCGCGCAAGCGCATCTTTTTAATGAAGCAAGCTAGCAAAAAACCACATAGAAAAGAAGAGGTTCTTTATATCACAAATAGAAATCACAGACAAACCGAAAGACACGCACGAGCGTGTCTGTCTATGTGTGACCGCCATAGCTCCAAGAGGAAAGAATCTAGAAATCTGAAATTTTGCACTTATACTAAGTGGACCATGAGGGTTTGCACCTGGGTATTATTACTTATCTACATGCGTGCGCTCATACGCATCTTTATATGCGAAAAAACCACAGAGAAATGTGACTGCTATAGCTCCAAGAGGAAATAACCTAGAAACTTCAAACTTTGTACCTATACTAAGTGGATAAACTCAAAAAACATTTGTTGCTTTCTAATTTAGAGGTTCCGTTAATTAAAGAGATTTGTTTTTGTTATTTGTTTTTATTATTTAAGTTTAAATAATAAAAGGACAAGTCAGAAGGAATGTTACCTTTATAAACAGGCCACATTCCCTAAAGGAGCAACAAAAGTATATAGGTTATATTTTAATGCTAAAATGGGTTCAGAATACACACACACTGACATAGCCATCTAGAATAAATCAACTTAATAACTCGAGGGAAGCCGGGTACTTTCGCTAGTTTATAATAAACGTAGGCAAGAGTGAATGTCAACCATAGTCATTCTGTAAGTTAAAAGTTATGCTACGCTTTTATCAATACTGAGAAATGAGCTTAAGAAAAACGTTACTTATGGAAGAAACGAAACTGTATAAGTTTCAAACAAGTTCTAGAACAGAAATTCAAAAGTTAAATGTTTTTTGTTGTTTTTGGAGGGTGTGTGTTATTAAGCACAAAGATACATAATGAGCCATCTGTGCTGTACCGACTATAAGTGTCGAAACCTGGTTTACAGCAGTGTGAGCCCTCAGACTTACTGCTTAGCCACTGGGGGCAAGTTAAATGGTAATTTTAACGTTTTTTTGTCGGTTAAAATGCACCAGTTGCTTAATATGCTAAGCACATTATGAATAAAAGTGTGTGTTCATTAAACGTTATTTTATGTATATCTTATAATTTGTTGTTGTTGTTCTGAAATAACCACTCCCTGTTTACTGTTATCAGCGAGTCTCATTCAGTACATTTTTCGCTTTTGTATTATTTCTTGTTTATTTAACTCAAGATCATATCAGGGTAAAAAAGTAGACTTGGAACAGTGAAGCTAACGTCAAACCATGAAAATATCTGATTTTATCACAAACAAGCTGAATATCCGTCATATGACTCGAAATAATGATTAATTTTTCTTCTCAAAAATATATCTAAATAAATCTTTTATGAACATGTTTTATAAAAATTAACTATAATCTAGTGACAACATATGTATGAAGAATGACTATCTTATTTCTAGTATTTCACGAAAATAACATTTTTATGTATATTTGGTCACCTCCTTTAAGTATAGTTTGACTAGCATTTTGACTTCTGTATATTTTTAGGTTATCTTCATATTTTCTTCTTGATAAATACTTATAGATTGAAACATGCGAAAAACTGATTCTCAAAGACATATTCGTCCTTGGTCAACTGTATGATCCTGCAAATTATTAATTGTGATGGTAAAGGCAGTGAATTTTATTATAAATTTTGAGGTTTTCTCTTTGGACTGTCTTCCTGGTCTTGGCTTTATTAGCCTGCTGGGCTGAAGAAGTGCGCTTTAATTTAGGCATTTTCAAAATTGAAGTGTGCTGCGGGTTATTATAGAGTTGTAGCCAAGGGTTCTAATTGGACAAAAGTTGATGGTGATGCGTCAATATGTCTCCTTGACAACCAAGCAAACGTAATGTGGAATTATAGCAAATGAGTATGATTCGCCAGCAATACCAAGCATGGGGCGCGCATGTACCCGATTCGATTTTATTATTCAACACGATCCCTAACAACCTACCCTCAAATCTAATTATATGCCCAAACTAGCGCATTGTTCGTTTTATATATATATATAAGATATTCTAGATATTAATTAAATTATAAATATAACAATTCATGTGAATAGGACTGAAAAATTTCATTTTATTCTGAAAAGGTGTGTCTATTTACTTGTGACCACGCTGTGTATCCCTTTCGCTTCGTGGAGTTCGTTGATCCTTTGGGGCATCGTGAGAATCATCTCGTCAATTTTAGATTGTGGGATTTTCGCCCACTCTTGCTTCAAAACTTGGAGTAGATCGCTCTTCGAAGTTGGTTTTTGGTTGTTTCTTGACTTGACGGTCGAGTATGGCTCAAAGGTTTTCAATGGGGTTCATGTCAGGAGATTGGCTCGGCCAGGGCAACTTCTGGATACCATTTTCTTCCTGCCACTTTTTGGTGTTTCTAGCAGTGTTACACGGTTCTCCATCTTCCTGTCACAACGTTGTATTCTTGTCCACGAAACCCGAGGAATAAAGTGGCAAGAGTCCTTCTTCCAATATTTCGGCGTACTTCGCAAAATTTATGTTGTCAACGCACTCCACTTAGCTCGATCTCCCACCAACTCAAACAGCTCCCCAAACCATCACGTTGAAACCACCATGCTTCACAGTTGGCTGCAATCTGTTGAGCCAAAACTCTTGGTGAGGCATTCTCCAGACCAATATCCTTCCACTGTCCGTAAATTGAGCGAATCTTGATTCGTCTTCCAAAAGTCCAGAGGCTTAGTCATCATATCACTTGCCCCCTTCTTTCATCTGACTATGTTGGCA